TGACACAGGCTGGTTCGGCCCGAGAGAGGTCCTGCCAGTTGTGGTTGTGTGTGACACAGGCTGGTTTGACATGAGAGTGGTGCAGGCTGCTGCCAGAGAAATGGTGTGACTAGTGTGGCCAGCTACAGGGTTGCAGAGGTTCAAGAAAAAGCAGAACTGTGTGCACGTGCTGCATGATAGAGGTTCAAACAAAAGTTCATTTGCAATTGGAGGAGCTGTAGCCAGTGGGCATCATGGAGGTGTATGAATATGGCTGGAATGGGGCCCAATGGCTCTGAGGGAAGGGTTTTCTGAAGGACACAACCTGTTGAGATGCAGTACAGCTATGCAGAGCCATGTGCTGAGCGCAGGCATGGGAGGGTGTTGTGAGCTGGGGAGAGTCCGTGCAGTCTTCCCCTGAAGGGGAACAATGGCTGAGATCTACGAGCCTGGCAGAAGCAGGAAAGACAGACCACGGCAAGGGGATATGCTGGCAGGGACCAGCAGTGCGGAAAGCATCCCCACGAGGTCTGTCAGCCTGCAGCAGGGCTTGTATCCTGTGTGGCCTCTGAAACAGGAGGTGTGGGCTTGGAAAGAAAGTGTGAATGGTGGTTGCCGAGCTGGGAGGGCCACCCACAAGGATAAAAGTGAGAAAAACCAGAGAGCAGGAGCTGGAGGCTGTTTTCCCTTTGCTCTGTGGAGAGAACTGATTGTCCAGCTCCCATCTCTGCCATTGTAAGATTGGAGAAACCAGAGCAGCATGACACAGCTAGGAGGGCTCCCAGCTCTGTGGAAGAGGAGTGAGAGGGGCAGATTGTCCAGCTCTAGGTTTCCCGTCAGCTCTAGACTGAAGTCTGCTGTGTCTCCTCTGCAAGGAAAGAGAAGCACCTTAGATCTGAGACTGCTGAGACTGCATCTGGTAGATGAATGATGGAAAAAAAGAGGTTTGTAGCTCATTTTTGTGACTATGTGGTTTAGATAAGATAAAGACAGTAGAAAAAAAAGGATTTAGAGTGTAGAAATCAAGTACAGTGTGAAAATCATGCACAGATTGGCCCATAACCAGTGCACCTGGTGAACAGGGGCCGTCTGTTGAACATATTTACTTTGTTTCACTCCTCTTTTTTCCTGCCACAAACAACCTGAACTAGCTGTCGTTGTTCCTTATGCCTCTGCTCCTTCAATCGTTGGTACCCTGTCACAGGCAGGAACTCCCAACCATTGCTCAAGTTCAACACACACCTGCCCTTTGAATAAACCTTCTAGGGAAAAATCATTTCCACTCTTTGCAGTTAACAAGCAGAAGGTTGTGGAGGCTTCGCTGGAAATTCACAACTCTCTGGAGTGTGCCTGGGCAGCACCTTACAGTGGATTCCTCTGGGTAACCATGTCCTACTGTAGCACAGCCAACTGATCCGACACACGAGTTGAGAGCTTCCAGTCATTGTGGACAAATGGCACTACCTGGTTACCATGGTAACCTGGCCTGTAATCCTTCATCTGGAAGCAGAAGAAGAGCCCATCTTATACCTAGACTTGAGGAGAAACTCCAGCAGCATTTTCATAACAGGGTCTCAAATTGTTTTGGACTATTTTTGCAGAAGTGATATAAAACCTCAAGTTAACTTGAGGCGAAGAGTGAGAATAAGCACTTCTACAGAAAAAGAAAGAAAGAAAAAGCTGCAAGAAAAAAAAACTGCGAATGGTCAACAGGCGACCACAGATTGGCCTGACTGAGAGAAATGAACAATTCTGGCTGTATGTCACACCAAAAGTGGGGCAGTCTCCACAGAGCAAACTGAGCAAACACCAGTTTGAAAAAAACGACAAAAAACTTAGTACGCAAAAACCTATATTGTTCCCTGGTCCCAGACAGTGTAGATTTTTCTTGACTTAAAAAAAATAGTTTAATTTTATTTGTATTCTAAAGTGCAGTGCATGTTCCTGCCGTTGGATTTAACAATCGGCTTTGAGGTCTTGCTATGAAAAGGTGTGGAAACTCCTCACCTTCCCAGCAGCTAGCAGCAGTCATTTTGTCACTTTGCTATCTGATTCCAAGTGAGTGCTTTAGTGCGACACGTACTGTACCAGTCAGAGCAGAGGCAGTTGAACACTCACGAAGAGCACACACAAGATGGCGAGCCACACAGGGAATAAAGCTTTAGAAAACATAAGAGGACGTAGAGAAGGTAAGAGGGGCCATAATACATAAGATGGAAAGCTCCCCAAACACATCTTCACCATTTTTTATTTTCTGGGGAGCCCAGAGAGTCCACAGGGAACACCCAGACCCCCTGGGTGAACACATTTTTGTTTTCAAACAAAAAGTATGAGTCCTTGAACAAAAACGAATTTGTCCCATTCTGAAAACTGAAAGAGTGGGATCAGTCAATTAAAAGAAAGGCAGAAGGTGCCACAGCCCACATAAACTGGGCTGTGCCAGCACTGCCAAAAACAAAGCTATGGGTGATGGGAGATTCAAGATTCAAGATTTTTAATTTGCCATATACAGCAAGTCTATTGGAATGCTTACTCATTCAGCTGTACCCAGTAACAGCAGAAAAAAGAGGGTGAAAAATTGGCAAAATCGTTATAATACAGCCAGGACAGTACACAGTGCAGGTGCTAATTTGAGCTGTTTCTGATGCGGACTGCTTGGGGGAAGAAACTGTTTTTGAATCTATCGGTCAGCCTTCTGATACTGCGAAACCTCCTACCAGAACCCA